ACTAGAAAGACTGTTTCCAAAGGCAGACCTGAATCAAACTGATTCTAAAGAAGCAGCTATTTTCTAAAATGAAGAAAAATCTGGATCCTGGAAATACAATCTAGACTTTCAAAAATCCTGTAGAACTCAGAGGCGTATGAAGACCTGCTGGTCCATCCTCCATTGGCTCCCTTCAACCCTATTGTAGCTGGGTTATTCAAGAGATACCAATTATGAGAACATGAGCTGTCCATGCATCTGGATTGGTAATTATAGGGTTTACAGTATTTATGAGACTTTCCCTCAGGATAGAAGCAGACGTATAATTTCTTCAAGCAAATGCCACAAGCCACCTTAAATACATGGACTTATTCAAATCTGAGGAGGTGTCTGCTGCTAGTAAGTAAGAAAGGGCTGGCAGCCAGTTGTCTCTCCTTGAAGCCACCCTGTTGGCTTTGACCTTGGATATACTGATCAAATGTGCATTAAATGACCATTGTAGTATGTCTCAAGACAAGCTTGCCCTTTCTCATAGGGAAACCAAGATACTGACTTAGAGTCAACTGATATTGATAGAAAAATAATCAGAAATGTATCCTCAATCTGTGACACTTTGACCTGACAGCAAGACAGATAAGAGCTCTGACACCTTGTGCTATTTATTTTTAAAATATAAACGTTACATTTGCACAGATGTACACTATTAAAATGATCAGAATGTCTGTTCCATGGACTATAGGGAAGATCTCATGCATCCACATTCTCCCCAAACTTATCAAAATAGAGAAATCAAAGCGTATAAAGGCAGCTCTTTGTATATCAGTTATACCTCAATAATTTTTCTAAACTGATCAGAAAAGCAAAACAGCTTTCCCATCCACCTGGACTCCACACTTCCACCCCCATACACACATACCTGCTGGGTGTAGGAAATGAAAACAGGTTCAAATCTCCAAGTTTAGGTCGTTGGTTCTTGTTCCTGACTGAGGGTTGTCTAAGGAATGACTCCTAAACAAGAGCCGCCAGTGTTGAGAACCATTGCTTCCTAGGTTGCTTCGCACAAAACTATCACTGGAAGCAGGGGACACACCTGCCCAGCTCCACCCTGCCCGTTATTCCCACAGGTAAGGGGTTCTACATGGGTGGGACTTCCTGCCACCTCAAACAAATGGGAAGAACTTCAGTAGGGTAGGAAAACACCCTAAAAGAAAGGCTAGAGATGTAATCCTTTAGATTGTGCTGGAAGGACAATCTAATAATAAAGTTGCATCGTCATGAAAAAGCTTGTTATAGGAAAACCAGATTAGAGGTTAATGGTAGACCTACACACCACTGTATCAGAATTAATATCCTGGGGCTAATAGATAAAACCCTTTTAAATTTATTAACTTAGCAGACTCTTAGCTTCCACCAACCCAAAAGCTAAGAATGTCATCAGATAGGCATCTTAGGCTTATAGAAAAGCTTCCCCTGTTCTGCTGTAACCACCCCTCTGATGTACTCACCAACGTCTGTCCTGCCTGGTCCCATAGCCCTTTAGTCCCAAATAAACACACAGAGAGAGTCTTATATTAATTATAAGCCATTTGGCTGATGGCTCAAGCTTCTTATTGGTGCTCTCTCTCTCTTAATTATTAACCCATTTCTATTCATCTGTGTGTCTCCACGTTTACTGGTGATATCTGGTCTCTTGCTTCCTCAGCAGCTACATGGTGTCTCCCTGACTCCGCCTACTGCCTTTCTCTGTCCCTGTTTGTACTCACCGCCTGGCTAGATCCTTCCTGCCCATTGGCCGAAACAGTTTTATTGACCAACAAATAAAAGAAACATATATTCACAGCTTACAGAAGGACATCCCCCATCACCGCTGTATTGTTAAAACTGTCAGGATTTATGGCTTTCTTTATTCTATCAAACTATTAAACTTCATGAAACTGCTCCTATGTTGAAACATGATAATCTAAATCTGTGTTCCTGGATGATGGTCACTCAGAATGGCTCCAGAATAAACTCTCTTGTATTCCCTTTAAGATGGGAGCTGGGGTTTTTGTGTGCAGGAATTGTAGAAGGTTCTTTACCATGTGTTACAGTTGGTAAAAATGTTAACAGGTTATGTGGAAATGGGAACAAATTGGGATTCTTCCTGATAGGAGGAAGTAGAATTGTACCCAACTTAGGCATGGTCTCCCAGGGAGAAGAAGAATGATAGTTGGTAGAGTTGTATAAACAATAAAAACACGTCTATTGCAGCGAAACATACAAGTCCAGAAAGAAACAAAAATAACAACAACAACAAAAACAACCCGACTATTCTGGCAAACACAGAAATGTGACGATTTAATGCTATATGCAGGGAAAGGATTTCATTTTCTTTTTTAAGAAGTTGGAGTGTCGTGGTGTTTCCCAGACTGAACTGGAAATCCTGGGCTCAAATCATTCTTCTGCCTTGGGCTCCTAACTAGTTGGCACCACAAATATGCTACTGTCCTTGGCTGAGAATGAGCTGTTAAGTCAGATAGTACTTAAAAGGATACAATTATAAAGTTTAATTATTAGGCATATCCTGTCATCTAACACTACCCAATGATGATAGCATTTTACCCTGAACTCAAAGTTGCTTTACCACATTCAAAGTTAAATTGCTACATATCATTTTAACTAATAACTATTTAATATCTGCCTGGGGTTGTGTTACAATAACAATTTCAATGGTTGCTTTAAAACAGCGAACATTTATATTCCTATTAATCCTAAGGCTAGAAAGCCATGATGGCACCAGCTGATCCAGTGTGGTTTGTAGACAGCCATCTTCCATATAAAGAGCAGAGAAGAATCAAGCTGACTCCTGCCTGGCCTTATAAAGCCACTAATTTCATTCCCAAGAGCGTCACCTTAATGACCTGATAACTTGCCAAGGCTTGCCTTCAAATGCCATCACATTTGGGATTAGCATTTCTGAATATGGAATTTTCTGCAGAAACATGGGAGAGGACAAGTCCAGCTAGTCCTCACAGTAACCAAAAGGAAAAGGAATTCGTTTTTCTGACATGTCTTGCTATATAGTGGTGGTTGGTCTAGAACTCACTATGTAGACCAGACTCTCTAAGAAATCACAGGATCTCCCAGTCTGCCTCCGAGTGTGGACCACCAATCAAACCCAAGCCCAAAAGGCTATTTTCAAACTAGAAATATTTGTATTTTATTGACATTGAACATTCTCTGACCTAATATGTCCTCCTGTTCTATTCTATATGTAGGATAAATGTGTCTAAAGGCTAGACCCTCTTCACTTCTGGACATTGCTAATAATGACACATACTTATTTTTCATCTTTGAAATCTTGGCAGAAGGACCTCATTTATTTTTATTATTATTTAACGTTGCTGGCACACACTGCAAACTCATGGCTCACAGGCACACAGACTTATTCTTCCTTTCACATTTTACACCTTAAGGACTGCATCACTTTCATTTATCCAGAGAGGGAACCTTAGACACCCTGATGTTATCTTTGGAATATACTGAATTACAGATTAACACCTGCTCTCAGGGGGTTGTGTCTCGTTCTCTGTTCTTATCTGTATTTGGATCTGAGAACACAGCGAGAAGTCCTTGTCTAACAGAAAGCAATTTCAGCTGTCCATTTTTGCCAGACAGAAGCTCTGGGCCCATATAATTAGAAGTGCTTACCTACGAGTTCGGTGAGGGTGAGAATGGTGTTCTTTTCTCCTGCCAGTCTGAGAATTTGTGTATCTGGTCCACAGTAGAACGAGACGGAAGCTCCGTACCCAGTTTAGTATTAATGACTTCCTTTGGAAACATATTCCAGCCATAGTACTTAGGCTGTTAGAGGATGGGGTTATTTAATATACCACAGCACCCAGGTACATTCCCCGCTTTAAACTAACCTCAAGATTGTAGTCAACATTTTGTTTATAATTGGCACTATTTGGAATGCAGTTGGGTGTGCCTAGCTCTCCAGAACACCATGTCTTATGGAGAGGAAGCAGGAAAAGGAAAGGGGTGAGTGTGTGTTCCTTTGAGTGGAAAACATTAGCCAGCATCTGACATGGAGAGTCAGGCCAGAGATGCAGAGGAGACTTAAGGATGCTTAGGAATGAATGGATGTCTGGCTGAAGGGGCCACAATAAATGCCTTGTGTTTCGAGAAAAGAAAGCAGTCATTTCACAGTGTGTATTTGCAGCTGATATTTCCAAACTGAAAACTTAACTTGGACTTGGATGCTGAGTCTTGCTAAAAGGAAGAATCTGAGTTAAGAACTCACAACCCTTTGTGCTCATGATATTCGGGGGTAGATGTGTTTTCAGACTGAGTGGACCGTGTGTTGTTATATTAGCAAATGCAGGTGATAGTTGCCTATTTATTTAAATATTCAATATTTAAGAGCTTCCAGAATTCTAGGCAAGGAGTTCTAAATATGTATATTAGCTGGCCCATCTTCCTGCTTCCTCTGTAGGATGTCAAGACTTAGGTTAAGGGCTGTTTCCTTATAAGGATGATCAGTGAAACACAATATGGATCATTAAATGTATCAGTGTACGCCTATCACATCTTTTATATAAAGTTATGGATTGAATGGGCTCCATCAGCAAGGTGATGACAGAATGAGATTATGATTTATTGTTGCCACATACACAAATTCTCTGGTTGGCAGAGAAGAATTGCTCCTGTTAGAGCTGAGGTAAAACCTGGAGAAGGAGACTTGGAGCCACCATCTTGCAATTGTGTCACAGGAGCAGGGGACGGCTCCCCACAGCCCCTGAGCGGTCAGGACAGGAAACAGTACTCACCCCTAGCAGCTGAACACAGTAAATATGTGACACTTATACCTTGTAAAATCAATCAGTGCAGGGTACCAAATAGTACAGTTGGACGCAAAAAGTGGTCATTTGTTCAACTTTGTTTCACCCCAGAAGATGTGAGCGACCAGATCTTAGCTTTAGACTAGTGAAAGTCACCTCAGAGACGCTTTGACCCAGACTTTATCCTCTCCGCTGCAGATGCCGTTCCTATGAAGACTGCTGTGGCTCCAGGTGCTGTGTGCGGGCCCTCTCCATACAGAGGCTGTGGTATTTTTGGTAGGTTACAATTCCTTCTCCTTCTGAGCGCCCTTTCCTAGCATTGCCCCCGGTCCCCAGGTGCCCACTGTCAGTCTAGTCACAACCTCAGTTCCAGTGCCATCAGTACAGTCATGAGGTCTGTGGGACAGCCTGGGCATTGGGCTTGCCCTCCTCCAGGACTGCTGGGGTAGGAGTTTACAGAACCTTTCTCCATCTCCTTTGTCACTGACTGAGTTAAGAAGAGCTTGGTGAGGTACAGCCCCACCCTTGAGCAGCTCCCTAGCCAGTTTCTGAAATGCTGTCAGGCTGATTGTCTTGAGGAGTCAGAATCAGTAGCCTGGGACTTGTGACAAAGTTTCTGTTGCCCGAAAACCTCCCTTCATCTGTATCTTCTGCATCTTAGCTTTCAAGACAGGCACCCTGTATCCTCACCCTCCGCAGGTTCCTCACAGAGGTCTGGGGAACATATGAAATCGATCAATTGCACCGTAAGAGAAGGTTGGGAGGGATACTGTCATTTAGAGAGTAGCCTTGTGCAAGTCTTTGTTCTCAGAGAGGCCCCTGGAAGTCTCTGGAGATGCGCTGTGCTCTGTAGCCAAGAGGCATTTCACATGTGGGGGATGGCACAGCGCTGCAAAGGGGATTTCTGTAAAAGACACTGAGCGTTTCTTGAACTCATCTACTTGGTTTGCTTGTGTGAGATCAAGAGAGGAACAAAATACTTTGCAAGTTAACGGGAGATCAAAACAGGAACAATATGCCTTGGGAGTTCATGGGAGACTGAAACAGGAGCAAGAGACTGTTTGCAGCTAAGACGGGTAAGAATAAGTTCCTGTTTCTCCTATGTGAAGTCCTTGCTAAGTTTCTGTTTGTAGTTAAGAATAAGTTCCTGTTTGTCCCGTGTTAAGTCTTTGGGAGGTAAGGTTTGATTTATAATCAAGAGTAAGCTTCCATTTCTTCGCTCAGTTATAGACTACTTGCAACCCACCCACACGATACCCTTACCCTTGTTCCTGCCCTTTCATTGTATTTTCCCAACCATATATAACAACCAACTCTTGCCTACGTGCACACCTTTTCTCTCCTATAAAAGAGACCTCTCCCTCAAATCCCAACTTAGTGTGAGATAGCTGGCTGGCCAGTCCTGGATGCACCCCCAAGTACAGCTTGATTTAATTGAATGGCTGTGGATTTGATCTTTTCTCCTTTTCCACAGACAGATGTAGCAGTTATCCCATTTTTAGGGAGCCAAGGTGGGTGGCTAGTCCTCCAGGAAGCTTCATGACTAATATTACCATGAGTCCAAAGGGAGGAAAGGCCGTAGGCATCCCTATCTCCAGATATCCCCTGTTGAATTCCTCAAGCTTCTGCCCTGTGGAGACATGTTGAATTCCAGTGCCGGCAGTGTTGAAGAAGCTGTCAGGGTAGACTGTCACAGTCCAGGTCTTCTCGTCAGGCATGGTCCCTGCATCTTAGTGTTTAAATGAGTGCCCATAGCTTAGCCTGCCATGCTGACGGCCCTGTGGCAGAGGCTCTACTTACATTGTCTAAAAGTGGCTTGCTGTCTTACTACACATCAAGTAATTGCCTCTTAGCCCTGGGGATTTGTTTTTTAAGAGAATTAAAGTCAAGGTCATGGTCATGGCCAACTGAACTAGTACACTAGTATGCAGGTCTCATCCCAGTCGGGTGGTAGGCTTGGGTACCAGGTTTCTCTGGCAGCATTATGGGTAGAGTGATTTCTGTTTGCCTCTTTATTGCTGGAAATGTTTAAGATGTGGGTGTAGACTCTTAAGGTCCTCCACTGGGTGAGAGAAGCCATCCCCTGTCATGTGAGGCATGAGGGAAATCGTCTTCCCTATAGATAAGGAGGAGGTGTTCCTTGTCCTGGATTATACACCAGGAGCAACAGACTCTGACAAATTCGCTTTCCCATGCATTCTTATCCTGTAACGATGCTAGTATGAAATTTACTTGGACGGGGGTCTCTATCTATTCAAGGGGAAGGGAACTGCCTGAGACTGGGGATGTCTTGTCATGTAAGTGTATTATAGATTTAACCTATTTTATTCAAGCATTCAATTTTCTGTAACAGGCTTTTAAAAATACACCTGGTTTGACTATTATTTTATATTGAACAAACTATTTTAAACTTATTTTGAGTAACTTGCTTTAGGCTTAGCTCTGACAACATTTACAGAAGACTATGTAATGGGAGATTCATTGCTTTCTCCCTCTAATCCTGCCTCTGTGAATAAGTTAGATTTGTGCTTAGTATATGACTAAAAACAAATTTTGGGCACATTAAAGACATTTGATCATTATAAGATAATTAACATGTCCTTGTTGTCTTTGTTTTAACAGTTTACAATAGACTAGCAACTCTCATAAAATTAAGATTTTATAATTTTATCTGTTAAGCTTTTAAGCCTTTAAATTACAATTTTGAACTGAAGCTCTTTTAGTACCAAAATCCATTTTAAACTGTAAATACAGTCCATGGGGAAACTGGGAACCTCATTTTCTTGATCCTTGTCAGTGTGCACTGAGTCATGTATATAGTTGGCTCATCATTCTCCCAGACTACCAAGCCAGATCTCTCATGAGAGGTAGGATCAGAAAATTACACCCTCTGCTATTCGTATCCCAACTTAGCACAGGAGGACAAGGATAGGATCCCCATTACAAGTTTTCTTCAGAAACCTTAAAGCTTCTCAAAGGGGATATCTTCCTCAATTCTTAGATGGGCTCCCCAAAAGGCCTGCACAGTCTTCCCCAACAAAGGGTCCTTCCACTCTAAGAGACCTGTAAGAGGCATAAACTTTCTACCCAGACCGGATTCAGTACACAGACTTACCCTAAGTGTGTCAGAAGGACTCATTCATTTTGTCTGGGAACACAGCAGTCAGTGGCCCTGGAATGTTTATCAGGGGATCCTCACACGCAACCTCTGGCCAGGAATGCCCAGAGTGATCCTGAGTCCTGTGTTGGCGTGGGAGATCTTGCTGGGGCTTCAACTGAAACAATCTATGTGAGAAAGTTACAGTTTGTCATGCTTTATTAAGCCAGTTGAGAGTATAGTGAGTTCTCCAGCCTGCCAGGAGTAGACTTATGCCTCAGACTCCTGGTGCAGAGACAAAAGAAGGTAGGTTTTTGTTTTGTTTTGTTTTGTTTTTTTTTTTTTTTGTTTTTTTTTTTTTTTGTTGTTGTTGTTGTTTTTTTTTTTTTAATAGTCAAAAGGCTGCAGTAGGCTAAGTGTGACCATTGAGCTGGTAAAATATCACACAAGGCCTCTCCTCAAGAGGGGCCAAGCTGGTTTTTGTATCAGGACCCTTTCTCAGCAGGGAAGGTGGGCCCTTCTGGTATTGTAAAGCACTTTATGAAGAGGAGTGAGAAGACATTTGTTTACAGGCAAATGTGGCTTCCAAGGGACAACCTGACCCTTCTTAAGCTATTTCACAACACCCATGCCTGGACTGCTAAACTCTGTGGATCATAAACTGAGGGTTGTTGACAAACAGCCGTCCTTAAAATATACTAGTTTCAGAAACAGAGACAGAAAAGGGACTTAGCAGAACAGAGCATGAGAGACTCGTGTCCATTCCAGAGAGCTCAGCCTACATCAGGAGATGCTTGCCTTGTAGTGAGGGCGGTTTCAGAGGAGTGAGAGCCTCAGAAAAGCTGTCCTCCACTTCCAATAAGAGATCATGGGGGCGAGGGAGAGGGGCTCCTTGATCCTGGAGGCTGAGTCCTCTGGAATTGACTCTAGACTCTCTCCTGTTTCAGAAAGGGGAAGGGAAACAGTGTTATGTAGTTTTATAGAATAAAGACAGTCATAGGTCCTGACAATTTTAAGATGCATTTGGTGGGTGCATCAGAGAGATTGTTACAACCAGATAGGGGAAATTTTCCCGTAAGCATTAGATGCCTGTCTGATGACATTCCTAGCTTTTGGATTGATGGAAGCTAGGCGTCTGGTAAGTTAATAGATTTCAAAAGGTTTTCCTCTATTAGTCACAGGGTGTTTGTCCTGATGTAGAGGTAGGAGAGGGATGGCTGTTTAGGGGCTAACGCTAGCCTGAGATAAAGTAATTAGCTTCTGGACCTGCAACCTTCCAGCTGTGTGCATAGCATACAGGGGGCTTTTGTGTGTATAGAGCAACAAAGGAGGAGGGTAGATTACATCGTCAGGTGAGTTTCTCTGCAGCCTCAAAGTGGTAGATACCAGCAGATCTGGTACATTCATCTCCTTGTCAGGAGTTAACTGGATCCCAACAGCCCACAGGTGTTAGCAGTCAAGTCAACTTTACTGTTTGGACTTGCTCAGTCTACCTGAGGCCTTTAGGCCATTACCCCTTCAGTAACAGGTAGGCCATTGTATGGGAGTACTCTGAAGACAGTGCACAAAACATATTTAAAAAATATTTTTATTATGTGCATTGGTGTTTTTCCTGTATGTATGTCTGTGTGAGGGTGATGGGTCCTGGAGTTACAGTGAGTTGTGTGGTGCCATGTAGGTGCTGGGAACTTAACCCAGGTCCTCTGGAAGAGCAATCAGCACTCTTAACCACTGAGCCATCTCTCTACAGCCCGCCACAAAACTCCTAATGCCAGGAATTTGGGGGAAAGCTGCAAAGCTTTTGACTAGCACTTTCAGTGAGTTTGTTCCCAGCATGATGGGGTCAGCATTTTGAGTAGAAGAGGTCTGAGGCTGAGTGAGAGAGAAAGTCGGTGGTATCAGTTCAGGGTCCCTCCGTTTCCTTCCTGTGGTTTGGAGGAGAATGCTTCTAAGACGCCCTGCCAGCTGTAGAATCTTAAGCCCAGGTATGAGTGAAATTGTTGAGTTTAGTTCCTACCCCTAGATAGCATTATAAAGCACATATTGCCAAATGGAAAAGACGGACAGGGGTAGCTGTATAGATGAGCCTGCTACTTGAGGTTCCCATACCTCTCCTTGAATATGGATCCAGGCAACAGGGTCTTGTGTTATTGCTCTCTGTCACCAGAAGGTTTGCAGGATGGAAAATTGCCATGTAAAAAGAAAAGGCAAACTGAGTTAAAGAAACTGAATTATTTCCGACTTTAGAATATGAAAACAACTTCCCCTCCTAATCCTCGGGAATATGAAAACAACTTCCCCTCCTAATCCTCGGGAATATGAAAACAACTTCCCCTCCTAGTCCTCGGGAATATGAAAACAACTTCCCCTCCTAATCCTCAGGAATATGAAAACAACTTCCCCTCCTAGTCCTCGGGAATATGAAAACAACTTCCCCTCCTAATCCTCAGGAATATGAAAACAACTTCCCCTCCTAATCCTCAGGAATATGAAAACAACTTCCCCTCCTAATCCTCGGGAATATGAAAACAACTTCCCCTCCTAGTCCTCGGGAAGCTGCTCAGTTATGCTGTACAGCAGAAGACTGCAGTGGGCAACCTGCCTATGGATACGATACAGTCCTCTGAAAACGACTTTTCTCATTGATAGCCCAGCTAGGATGAAGTTCATTTTCCTGGCCTTTGTCAGTCCCCCTTATTAGTGGTAAGTCCTTAGACTAATGCTTCAATAAGGAACAGATCAGTTACATGTGACACCAGAGACACAAGTTGGCCTCTTGTCAAGTGACTGTGCTATCCTTGCTTCTGAAGTGTGAGGTACAGAGTCATTTTTCATCTAGGAGGGAAGAAAATCCATTTGGCAGTATAACCATCTTGGCCCTTCTTCGTGGTGAAGACCTGAGATGACTTATTTGGAAAGCAGAGAGCCAGGTCTGTTGGCCTGGCCAGCAGTAAATCCCCGTGCACATTCCACCTCTCCAGGTTTTACATAACCGGACTCAGATTATGCATTGAATGGTAAGATGATAAGCTTTAAGCAGCAAGTCCGGCTGTGCCTGGTGGCACTGTCCTGTAATCCCAGCTGCCTAAGAGGCTAAGGCAAGAAAGTTACATCTCCAAAACCTACATGGACTATGGAGTGCATTCAAGCCAGCTTGAGCAAGCTAGTGAGACCCTACCCGAAAGTAAACCATAGGAAATGGGTCTGGCGCTATAGGACTATACTTGTAAAGATGGGAGAAGAGTGGGAGAGGGAAGAGAGAGGCCAGGACAGAGGAGGGAGAGGGGAAGAGCGCAGGGGAGAAGGGAAGTGAGAGACAGGGAGTGGAGGGAAGAGGAGACAGAGAGAGACTGTCCCTTTTGTGATTCCAGCATCCTCGCTAATGAGGTCCCTTACTTTTCCAAACCTCTGAGCCCACTTCCCAGTCCTGCCAGCTCCAGCTCGGCTCTTGCATCTCTCCCCTGAGCTTCCCCTGCTCTAGGCCTCTTTGCAAGTGTCACCCTTCTCACCAGACTTCCTGTCCCCTCCTGATGTAGCCCCTTCTCATTTAGAACCTACTCAAATATGGCAGGAGGAGAGTATTTGTCCATTTTTATGTGCAATACTATCTCAGTTTAAACCCCCAGTGCACTGAATTATATACTTAGTATATAATTTTGGTAGGTAATATTTTACACAGGGCTGCTCTTCCAGCCTTCAGTTTTCTTTCTTACCGCTTATTTATTATGAATAAATAGTTGTGTATTCTTGCCAGTCGGTTTCTTTCTCTTCTATTAAAAATTAAGTTCATTGAGGTGTGGGGAAGGGACTCAGCCTCTGTCTTTGGTAAGTTATCTGCTGCTGTGATAAAACACCATGACTACAGCCACTTGGGGAGGGAGGAAGGGGTGTATTTCATCTCAGGTCACACTGGGTCACTGAGGGAGTCAGGGCAGGAACTGATGCAGAAACCATGAAGCAATACTGCTTCCTGGCTTGCTCCTCCTGGCCTTTTCAGCATGCTACCTACCCAGGGATGCCCACTGTGAGCTGGGCCCTCCCACATCAACTGATCAGTCAGGAAGATGTCTCACAGACTTGTCTGCAGGGAATCTCATGGAGACATTTTCTCAATTAATAATCCATCTTCGCGGATATGTCAAGTTGTGCCAAATTGGCAAAAACCAACCAGCATACCTACTTTCCTCCCTGTGGTGCTATGGACATCAAAGGCGCCAAACTTGTTGAATAAATGACTAATTAAAAGAAAGAACACAAAGACCCTAATTATACCTTTTTTTTTTTTTTTTTTTTTTTTTTTGAGTTATTTCTGTCTGTGACCGATGGTCTTGCACTTAGTTGTCTTCCTACTCTCAAAGGCCCTATCACGTGGTCTTAATTTTTTTTTTTTAAACATATTATCTGGTGTCATTGGCTGTGACCTACCAAATTTGCTGTGTGCTTGACCCACACAAAACCCATATTATGGACTTGTATGATGTTGAAAGAGTTCCACAGGCCAGAGATGGGTAAGAATTTATCAGTTTTGCTTGGTATTGCCCTTATCGTAGATGATTGGGTAGATGTCTTATCTCTAAGATATGGAGAGAAATCAGCAATGTTTACAGCCAGGAGTTTTCTGAATATTTTTCTGTTTTGTTGACTGTGTTTCCTCTCTCTGCCTATATTTTTCTAGTAATTAAGTAGTGTTCTAGATGTTTTTTACTATTCTTAAATGTTCATTCCATAACATAGAAAGGTGCATTTTTGTGGTTTTGACAGTCAAGAATTGCAAATGTGGAGACAGAATGACAGAGGCTGGATTCGCCAGCACCTTCTGTTTTGACTGAAATATTGTGTTGTGTTGGAGACATAACTGAAAATGCAGTACAACAATCCTTTGAAATCAATCCTTTGTAGCCACCAAGACGCAGATTTTTCTTAGCAAGCATCTCAGTGTTAGCAGCTCCTATCCTGGGGATACCTCAGGAATTTTCAGGGCAAGTATTTTGCTGATATCATCCATAGAAGGAATGTCCCAAGGTGAAACAATCCAGAGCGGACCACGGTTAGTCACATGCCTTCATGGCTGGAGGCTTCCCATAGCTTGCTGGATCTCTCTGCTTTGCCATTGGGGATTGGTATTCCCGGACCCCCTGGGAATCCGCAGCCATTTTTGTTATCATTCTAGAGCCTGGCCTCGGCCGAGGCTTGAATCATGGCCTCATGTCTTCTTCCTTGCAGGTTCCTGTTGATGATGGGTGTGCTCTTTTGCTGCGGAGCTGGTTTCTTCATCCGCCGGCGCATGTATCCACCACCACTCATTGAGGAGCCCACGTTCAATGTGTCCTACACCAGGCAGCCACCAAACCCCGCTCCAGGTCAGCCGGCCTCATCCTTGTCTGTCCTCATAGTTGGTGTGCTCTCTTCAGGCATTTACAGTGCCACAGGCTGTGCTAAAAGAAATAAATCAGGCTATTTGGTCATTATTTTTTATGTTTGCTGGGAGCACTGAAGTATATTCTGTGCCTGTCATCTCATGTGTTTACATTATTGTTGATGTACTCCGTGTGAATGATACATCGTTCATATATGCATACATGCCTTTTTTCTTTTTTATAAACAGTTATTTAATGTATAAATTTTTATATATGAACAATAATGACCCTACCATTCTTAATATTATGTTACTACATGGTCATTTGTTTGGTATTTTATGATTGCTAGTGATTTTGTTGGTTGTGGACTAAAGCTTTTATGTTTGATGAACTTGGGGGTCAGTGTGTTCACATCGCTCTGCTCCAGTCACAGCTTCTACCTGGAGGCCTGGGAAGAGTATGTTCATTCATTCCACCCAGCCCACTGTGGGTGGGGCCATCTCCAGGCTGCTGGTCCTGGGTTCTGTAAGAAAGCAGGATGAGCAAGCCATGGAACAGCCCAGTAAGCAGCACCTCTCCGTGGCCTCCGCATCAACTCCTATCTCCAGGTTCCTGCCCTGTCTTGAATCCTGTGCTGACTTCCTCTATAGGTGAACTATGATGAAGAAGTTGCAGTTTTCCTCCCCATGTTGCTTTTAGTTCTGGTGTTTCATCACAGCAGTGGTAACCCTAACATTTACCAACCATAGCAGGGGACAAAGTCAGGGTGCTTATAAACCAAGTGAAATGGAAACCTCATTCAGTGCTCAGAGAATGGAAGATTAAGTATGAGCGTGTACAGAAACTGGGCTGGAGAAGGAGTTGCAGACAAGAATAGTGGAGCAGACTATGTGGAAATGACATCTCGTCAACCTCTTTAACATGACTCTAGAGTTTCAGAGAGCCACTGTCATCCCAGTGGGGTAATAATCTACATCAGGTGGGGCACCAAGTTAAAAAAAAAAAAAAAAGAAAGCAGCAAAGGCTGTTGGTTAATCGCCAGTGGGAGGGCGTCAAGGACCAAGGGCTGCTGAGGTCCTACATCTTAGATCAGAGTTATCACCATGGGGCTAAGAGGCTAAGAGGGAGCTGATATTTGATACCATCCTGTCCGTGCTCTAGTGGTACCTGGAAGCATTCAGAAACACAAGTGCCCTATTTTATTCCCCCCACCACTAGATTTGCAGACCCCCTTGGAGTTAAAGGATCCCAGTTGTAGAACATAGGTTTAGGTCCCCAGGTCTCTACTAGTTGTCCCAGATTCCTTGTTTAAGAATGTAAACTTAGCTGAACCTGGTGGCACACAGAGGTATGCCTCATCAGTGCTAAGATGGATATTCATTCCCTGGAGGGCAGGAGATGGCAGCCGTTTGAATGCTGGTGTGTGAGGGTTAGCTGTTAGGGCCAGCCTTCATGTCCAGAATCATTGATAAGGCACACACCGAAAAGGTGCTGCTGATTGGCGGTTGGAGAGATGGTCTAGCATCAGAGTTCGGGGCTTTTTTGTGGATTGAGCAGGACTTTGAGGGAATCAGAAGGTATGGGTAACACAGCTGTGGAGACTGAGGTTCAGAGGTAATGCTCCGTGTGAAACTGGGTGAGCAGATGTTTTTAGTTGAAAGTTTGGGGATTATTGGGATGCACAGCAGATGACAAGAGAGCAGTGTTGAGTAGTTGAAGTTCTGAGAATAAAAATGATGCTGAATGGGATATGGAAACCCAAAGTCTGAGACATAAGGTGAGTCACTGGCCCCTTTGAGGGTCAGTACCTTGCCTGAAAAAAGAAGTTACATGAAGGAAAGAAGCCCATGGTTTTGTCTGTGTGCACAGAAGAAAGGGCCTCATCAAATCCCACAGTCCCCAAATCCTTGTTGCTGACTGGGCCACCATCCTTATGGCCTCAATGCAGGAAAGAAACACCAACTCCATCCATTCATTTCCTTTCTCATAAATATTAGCTAACAGTTCCAGCTCCCCTTAGAAACATAAAGAGCCAATGGAAGAAATTCTAAAAGTTTGGTTCAAGGAGCTTAGGTTCAGAAAGACCAGAGAGAGACATGTTTCCCATGTAGCTTACTAGTGGCTGAATGTGAGGAGATAGTCTAGGTCATAAAAATCAAAGATGAACTGGGGCCTGTCTTCTTTGTGGAATATTATATGGCAACACAAAAGTCCACAGTTGGGATCATAGCAACACAGTTTATAAGACTCGGGATGTGTCTCAGTTAAGTGCTTGCTTAACTGATATTCACAAGGCCCTGGGCTCTTTCCCCCAGCACCACATGATACCAGGTATGATGGCTTTTGAGTGTCATTCTACTATTCAGGAGTTAGAGGCAGAAGGGTCAGAAGTTTCAAGGACATTATTGACTATATAGCAAGTTTGAGGTTGGCTAGAGATATATAAGATGCTGTGGATACTACTGCTACTGTTACTACTACTACAAATAATAATAATATAATTGTATAAGAAAATGGCAGTCTATGAAGCAAGAATTGAGCTGGAAGCTGGCTAGCTTTCACAGTGTTGGAAGGTTCTATGCAGGCATTTGCAAAAGATAGGTATCAATGGTCTTACTGAGTTATGACCTATAGAGTCTCAACCTGTTAGGCAAGATGTACCCAGGGATACAATAATGGCAGCACACTTGTTGATCTCGGGTGAGATATGAGTCCCACTTCCCAGGAGAGAACACACGTCTCTCACTGTAAACTCAGTCAAAAACCTCTGGCTAGGAAGACTTTAGCGAGGATCTCAGAATTATTGCTTAACTAAATTGAGAAGACACCAACCTGTGGTCTCAGCGTCTATCTTTATGCCGATATACAACTGTTACTCTCATCATTATGAAGAGAAGCTTCTCTTTGCAGTGGACAATAGTGAATACAGAGAGAGACTCTTGGCAGCCAAGTGTGCCCAGACATAGGGCATGCATGATACCTCCTCTAACACTCGGGGAATATTGCAGAAGAGGAAGTGGGAAGATGTCGCAGTCAGGGGTCAGGGGAAAATGGAAAATGCTACATTTAGGGCATGGCGTCGCCACTGCATTCTTGCCATGGCAGCTGCAGTTGCCTGCACTGGGCCTAAATAAGATGAGCCCTGTAAACAGCCAGTTGTGGCTTGGAGGCAGGCTCATGGGACCTTACCCCTTGCTGAACTCTTGGAAACAGATAGATTCTGGGAGAGGAGCAACCATTGCTTTCAGTTGTGTGTGCAAGGGTGAATCTACCCGTTTCCAATACAGGGTCAGTATCTGTGGCCACAGATTGACCTATATGAGACGAGTGGATTGCAAAACACAAAACAAAACAAAATGGTATGAATATAGGAGGGGGACCTGTAGGGAGGAAGGATGATGAAAGTGATAGAAGGGAGTCCAGAGAGGCCTAAGTGAGAGTAGACAAGTAGAAAGTTGTCAGAGATCAAAGTTAACCACTTATACAAGTATGTATTTATATATGCTATGGGAGATTATTTTACCAAAGATGCATTAAGGCATTGAGATTTTCAGTATATTGAAAAGCTAACAAGAATGGTGATTAGGTTTATCACAAAATGTTATTAAGAGCAAGACAGTCTCTTTTAAGAATATCCTGTTGCTTTAGACACAGGAGTTAAGTTCTAGGTTATATCAGAACAATAACAATTTTGAAATAGATGAATCCATTTTATTCTCAAACTGGATTTTTGTAATTGAGGTGAGATATTGATTTCTCTCATATTCTTTTTTTGGGGGGTTGATCTAAGTCTGTGCTAAAAGAGAGGCTGAATTTCCTAAACAGTTCTTCATCTTTATCCTTGGTAAAGAGGATTCTGGGAAAAAGCTGTTTGCATGGGCTGATAACCCGTAAAAACTTCAGTGATGGGGTAGAGTTCGTTGCTGTTCATAGCCCAGTTACAATTCTTTTTGTGTCATCTTTAGCTCCCTTGACAGCCACTCATTGCCCACCTGTATCAGACCTACCATCCTGATAAACAGATAAAAACCTTTGGAGTGCATTAACTAAACCCCTTCCCCCACCAGTGAGCCAGCGAAGAATGATGTCAGCTAATGTCTATCTGTGTGGCTTCAACCTGCTTCCTTGGTGTACTTACCAACTTATTTTAAAATCACTTTCATTTATGACTTGCTTTGTTCTGTTCTTATAAAAACCCATAGAACTGTTTCCACACGAGAACAGAGAAACTGGGTGACCTAGCTCTATGTTCCTGGGTCATGGTCACTCGGATTAGGCTCCAGGATAAACTCTCCCTTATTCCCTTTGCGATGAGAACTGTGTTTTTGTGTTAACACCTCTATTCACCTCAAAGTCTTTGTCCAGTTTTGCCCTGTGGTTTACCTCCCTGAAGCTTTATTTTTCACAGTTTTAATCTGTATTTGTAACCCTGCTTTGGAGATTTGTTTTTTACAATGGACTGCACGGATTTCCTTGGGAACTTTTGTTCTTAACTATGTCATCTGTGGTGTAGTTGACTGTAGTTCTGAGGCGCTTTTCATTTCCATGGAGTCATGTGTACATTTGGGAACAGGTCTCTGAAGTCTGGGGACATCTGCCTAACTTGCCAGCCTTCTCTCCATGGGTTTCACACATGCAGGGCCGTCTTTCTGCTTGTAGTTCCCTGAGTATGCATGGCTGCTTCAGTCACAGCTGAATCCGTCATCTTTCAGTTCCCCTCTGAGGGAGCCTGAGTGATTAACTTGGGCAGTGCCTGGCATTAGATCTTCCAGCTAAATCGAAACTGTGGAGAGAGGCAGCAGTGTGCACCCACTCTGAGAACCTTTGCCCTTGGCCAAGCTGTCCCCATTCCTGCCTTGTCGTCTCTCTGGTGGGAGCCTTCAGCTGCTAACCACTAGTAGACCACTAGTAGACGCTGCTGCTGCTGCTGTCTCTATAGCCTCAACCACAAGGTTCCCACCATGTTCAAGTCTGGAGGTTGTCAAGATTCTTCATTAAAGGATTTATGTTCGTGATAGATATAGCTTGCCCACCTTTTGTTTGCTCTGATTTTTTTTTAATATCCTAAATGTATTTCTCTCAATTATTTTGTAAAAAATTAAGATATACCCAGCATGCCAATTCCTACAAGATCCACGAGCTGGTACTCCAGTGTTCATTTGAGAAGCTCCACTGTGGGGGCATTACAAATAGCCCAAGCTGTGGCGCAGAGACAACAGCCTTCGCTGTGCTCACCTGTCATAGGCGTGTTCATAGGAGGCGGGGGCGTGTTGCAGTAGGAAGGAGGGGGTAGGCAACACGCCCCCACCCCCCTCTGGTCCTCAAGAGCAAAAGCCTCAGTGTGCATAATAGCCACTTCCTTCTGTCACAGAAGAAGGAGGCATAGCTCAGGAAACTGACAACTCTACCCAGCATGGGCCTGTGGGAGTTGCCCGAGACCTTTGGCCCACCAGGATGACAGATACTCTTTGCCTTCAAAAAAATGGAGCAGGAATGGAGACCTTAACTTCAGATACCGTGCATTTCTAGTAAATTGTACTCAAACTGTGTGGAGGGGACTATGGTGAATCTGGACCAAGAGTCAGGGGACCAGGTTATTTAGGGGATCTCCTCACAGCCAGGGCACAGTGACAGCTGTCTGCAGACCAGCTTCCTCACCTTGACTTGGGCACACCCCTGCAAACATACTTACAGCACAAGCCTCCGCAGCTCCTTCAGAGCGAGCTGCCTTGTTTTCAGATCTGAGTCTGTGATGGGCGTCTGTGCCTCTGTAGGGTACTCCGTCCTCCTTTCATGCTCCTGTTCTTCATTGCACTCCGGAGACCGATGATGTTTCAGCAATAGACTTCTCCAGAGGAATTGTGCTCCCCGAGGACAGGACCGTGTGTTTCTCTTGCTTATTACCCAGTCTAGGTGTTTACTGTCTTGAGGAGGGTTTGGTTCTTCCTAGAACTACAGCAGTGCAATGCATGCTAGTACGGAGATGTGCCAAATAGTGGTTTTTTTCCCTCACATATGGATATCTGTCTTTCAGGGGTCCAGCAGATGGGGCCGCCATATTACACGGACCCTGGAGGACCGGGGATGAATCCTGTTGGCAACACCATGGCAATGGCTTTCCAGGTCCAACCCAGTTCACCCCACGGAGGCACAACCTACCCACCCCCTCCTTCCTACTGCAACACGCCCCCGCCTCCCTATGAACAGGTGGTGAAGGACAAGTAGCAAAATGCTACACAGAAGGCAAAGAGGCTGGACAGGCCCTTCTGTGTGTCCTCCCCATCCTCACTGATACTTGCTAATAGGGTGGTCCAAGGGCAAACTGCTCTTTGATGTCTTCGAAGCAAGCCCAGCTCTCTTTCAAGTTTATTGTGGAGGACATTTGAATTTCACACTGTCTCCTCTGTTGCTTCTGTTTCTGATGTAGTCTGTGCTCTCTGAGAGAGTGTGGCAGCAGCCCCCGAGGGTTGAAATTACTGAGGTAGCTGATGTAGATCCTTGGGAGAGAGGCTAAGAGGAAAGGAAGGCATAGCCTTTGTGTTGGGGCAGATCAAGAAAGGGTCAGGCTGAGATAAGGCTCACACGATGCAGTAGCGGGAAGAGAAGTCCGAACGGCCGCTACCCACTGTCCTAGCCCATCCTAATAGAAGCTGTGGGAATGTGCTGGGGAGGCCTGTTGACGCTGTTTGGTCTCCACTCACATTTTGAAAGTAGGCTTTCCCTCTGCAGGGATAGGAAATGCCCAAGTGTATGCTGTTTCCGCTGCAAGATGAGGGTCAGCATCTGGCCCCAACTGGACACCTGCAGTTAACTAAAGACCGTTAAAGAGAGGAAAGTCTTTTAAGTTAGGGAAAATTACTCACTGCTCCAAATGGAGACATTGCATTTTATAAAACATGCTCTGGCTTCAGATGGAAAAAAGAAAAGTTTCCTTTTTCTTTTAGTGTATTTATTGAAGTGAGAGTCCTGTTCTTTGTGATCAGATGGCGGCGAGTGTGAACCCTTGGGGTCACTGCTTAGGGCTTCAACATCCTTCCCCTAGGTAGTTCTGGTGGTGGGTTTCATGGACAGTTCAGAGCAAAGGTTACATTTGACCCTTGGAGCGGGAGAGAACAGCTAAAATAGCCCAGCAAAACAAGACCAGCTTTGCTGCGTAAGAACTAGGGTTGTATTTGATCCAAGCAGAGATGTGCTGGGCTCAGAAGAGGGGAAATTTATGGATAGAACAATGGATGGAAACCTACTTAGTTGCACAGACCACATAATCAAAATTAGAGAAAGAAGGTGTAGTTAGAGATGCTGTTTCCCAGGTGAGAACCAGCACGCCTATAGATTTCCAAGTAGTGGAGAGAGTTCTTAACAGTGAGGAGTGCTGTTCCCTTGCGTAGTTAGTCACGTTGATGTGTGTTTAGACCCAGATTGAGACCTTGTATACTAAGAGGAAGGCAGTATAGCCAAGATGTCTAGATTACTTTATGTGTAGTATTGTAGGGAGTGGGCTGGGACTAGGGGGACTGGCATTTTAAACGAGCCAATCAGAGCCTTTTGATAAATTGTCACTTGTTGAATTGGGCATCCAAACATCTCCCTAGAGTGGAGATGAATTGTTCCTGGGGTATTTATAGGGGCAGGGGTTCAGGAATCAGGACAGTAGCGGCGTAGGCTTAGTTTAAGGACGGAAAGCATGGGGACTTGGTAGACAGTTTCGTAGGAAATTTCAGGGAAGGAGTGAGCACCCTTTAAGGCAATTCATGGACACAGTGCTGCTGCCCAAATTATTGAGTACCCTTGTGTGTCTGGCATCCTGTCCTGGATCCAGTACCCCTCCAGGTTCGGGTCCTTGTTTTAAATACGACAACAAAGCACAATGTCTGCTGTTTACAATCAAGACAACTATATGGTCCAAACATTTCTGCCCCCTCTATCACTTGCGGTTTGAACTTCAGTTTCCTCCTTTCCTTTTTAAAACAAGCACAGTCAGAGCTGCTCCTGGGATTGCCCCAAGGGACAGCTGAATCCAGGCATTGGGGGTCCTTGACTACATCTTACCTTTTTGATAGCAAATCCTTTTGAGAAACTGAACAACTGACTGACTGATAGGGCTCAGCAATTTTATACTCCAGTGTCTGTGTAAGATACATTTTGTTTCCATTAAGCCTGCATTGAAATTCCTTCCGCTGCAAACACTGGCAACGCCTATGGAAATTGCACTTCTGGGGACAGTTCCCAGCATTCTTGTTTTCTTGTCTTCAGTGAGTAATGCTCACCCCTTCCAGCAGCTCCACTCATGTGTGCTGAGGTCCTACAGAGCCGGTGCTTGGGGACAGACCTGAAGCAGACTTGTGCATGCTTTTTCTTGGCAACACTCGGCTCACATTTCTTCTTTGTTCTCTTTTGATAGGATCCTGTTTCTTATGTATAAAAATAAAAGGGAATTTGGTCATGTGCTGTGATTATTTTCTGGGGGGGGGTAGGAAAAGGATGGAGATGGGGTTTCTAATGAGAAATGATGTACAGTAGATCATGAACTCACATAGGAAACAGCGTAAGGTAGATGATGCCCCCCACCTACACAGCTGGAAGCCAACTAAACGTTACCCAGGAATTTATGTTCCCTTTGGTCCAAATGACACATTTTCGATAGGAAAGAGTCATCAGAAGCAAGTGAGAAGCAGAATTATTTACCCAACAGGGGATGCAGGTGTTGTCCAGGAATGTGGCTCTGTTTTCCCACAGGAAGTTGGCCTTCCCTCAAGGGGATACAAATTGGAAAGGAAGAAGTCAAACTGTCACTGTTTGCAGATGATATGATAGTTTACATAAGCGACCTAAAAAACTCTACCAGGGAACTCCTACAGCCGATAAACACCTTCAGCAAATTAGCAGGATAAACTCAAAACAATCAGTGGCCCTGCTATTTACAGACGACAAAGAGGCTGAGAAAGTACCACTCTAGAACTGTGTGTTGTGTTCTGCAGGTGTCACCTCAGCTACTCAGAGACCCAAGGCCAAAGGACTGTAGGAGTTCAAGACAGGCAAGGCGATAGAGCATCGTTCTCATCTCAGGACTGTAAATGTCCTGGTCTGTGTAGTCGGGCATTGTACCTCTTGGGTGTGACTGAGGCTCTACTTGCCACAGTTAAGCTGCATTTTTGGATGAATTGCTAAAAGACACAGTGTTTTTAGAGTTTTATATTCTGACTTCTTCAAATCCTTGTCTTAGAAGCCTTTATTTATAGACCCACATTTGGTCTATTTGTTTCAGGGCCTTAGCAAGACCATGTTATTTTAATTGAACATTCCGAGAAGCATCTTCATTCTGTATTATCTTCTACTTTACAAATTTGCAAATTATATCATCTTCTTGGAGAAACAGGCAGGACAGGCAGGGTTGGAGGTATTGCAGTTCTTCTGCTCAAAGATAGGTGATTCCAGAGGAAGACTTAAGAAAAGCTCGGTCTTCCCATCTCTTTATTCCATACTCTGTGGCTGGACCTTCTATTAAAGTGCTTTCTTCGGTACTTATTACAAAATGGCTCATCTGACAGACGCATCTGCTGAATACATGGCAGTACATGGGACTTTCAAGGGCCACTTATACTGCTTACATATAGTCATCAATAAGGTACAACTCACAACTCATGTTAAAACTAGCTAAGATTAAAGGCACAGCCTCAGAGCAACACACGGATGTGAAATGGATTTAAACACAGTGTGAATGACACTGCGTGTGGGGTTACACTGTGGGAGGGATCACACTGCGTGTGGCTGTACACAGGCGCTATGTCAGTTCCTCAGGAGGCTGAGGCTCTGAGGATCACTGGAGCCCAGGAGGACAGGGTTTGTTTGAGCAACACACTAGGACTCTGTTGCAGATAAATTAATAAATGTGCATCTATGAAAATCAACAAAATAAATTACCAAATAGACTGAGCTTAGAAACAACTAACCCTGACACCAGGATTCCTAGAATGCAGGACCACGGGAAAATGCGCTGAGATGGTTTGTCATGAATAAGACACAAAGAAAAAAAATTATGAGAAAACCGATAAATCCATCACTTGGTTTTTATAACTCAGGTATTTTAAAATAATTTCTTAATAGTTGGTGTACATTCTATGACAGTTGCTGTGCTACAGCTTAAAGCACTGACAGAATAAGGAAGTGCTTTTTATTTGTTTGTGTTTTGGGGTTTTTTGTTTTGTTTTTGTTTTTCTTTGTTGGTTTTTTTGTTTGTTTGGTTTGGTTTGGTTTTGGTTTGTTTTTGAGCCAGAGTTTCTCTGTAGTTTTGGAGCCTGTCCTGGAAATCAGTTTGTAGACCAGGCTGGCCTTGAACTCACAGGGATCCTTCTGCCTGCTGACTGCTGGGATGAAAGGTGTGCATCGCTACTTCCTGGTCAGTAATAGTCTTTATCCCCCCCCCCTTTTTTTTTTTTTAACTATTTCTGGACTCAAGTCTAAGCACACTGCTAATGTGCTTTATGATAAAATGCCTGAGAGAATCAACTTATAAGAAGAAAATGTTTTATTTGGACTCACAGTCTGAGAGATTTCCATCCATGTTCACTTGGACCTGTCCCACAACAAATGATGGGGGGCATGGTGTGGAAGAGGCCATGTTTACCTCAGGGATTACAAATATTCCTTTCAAGGGCATGCCCTTCGTTACCTAAGTTCCTCCCACTACAGTCAGCCTCCCAGAGGATCCACAGTACCTTCCATTAGCACTGTGGGCTGTTACTGAACTTTTAACACATGGCTCTGTAGGGATGTTCATAATCCAAAGTATAGTACTACCTGATACCTTACTTCCTCTCAGGCCCGTAGTTCCAAGGGTTCCTGGGAAATCAGCCCATAGAGTACCAACTTCCTCTGAAGTGGTACTATGTTCTTGCTGCTACTCCTGTGCATTTAAGGCCCATGCCCATCTTTGGACATGGCTGTTTAAACCTGGTAGCAGTGATTTACTAGATTATGGTAGGGACATCCTCTAAACCATAGGCCAAGTCTGATGACTTCTACAGACAACTACTCCTAAAGCCACTTTTAAGTTCTGTCTGCAGTACCACCCAGATCTGTCATTTGATGTGAAATTTCTAGAACACATCACTTCATCTGAAAAGGGCCTACTTCCTTACTCTGCAACCCCACCCTCAGCTACTCGGAGAGAGTTCTAGGCCCCAGTGGCCCATAAAACCTTTTATAAGTGTTTTAGTTTGCAGTGTGTAACTAGCCATGCTTTTAAAAATGTATTAAATTTCTGAATTCGAGTGTGTGTCCGTGTAACACCATACATGTGGAGGTCAGCTGACAACTTTGTGGAGTCGCCTCTCCCACCTTTACCTTGGATCTAGGGATAGAACTTGACT